TAACAAATTTTCAATTTTTCAATAATAATTGATTCATAATTTTTATAACAATAAAATTTGATTTTCATAATAATAATAATAATAATATGTTTGTAAATTTATGTAAAATTTATTTTTTTTAAATCTATACACTTATACTGTATAATATATACACTTATTCTATTATATATATATATATATATATACTTTATATAGTATTTTTAATATGATATACAACACAAAAAAAATGTTTATTAATTACAATTAAATTGTTTAGTTTAATATATACAGTATATTATATATTTTAAAATAAACAATTTAATATAATTAATAAACAATTTTTGTTGTTGTATATCATATTAAAAATACTGTATATATATATATATAAAGTATTATTATTATTTTTTAGGTATATATAATATTAAAAGTCTAATATAATGTAAAATATAAATAAATATTTTTGTTATTTGATTAAAACATATATATATATATATATATAAATGCAAAAAATTAATAATTATTTAGTATACAAACACTGTATGTATAATTGCTAACTAATTAAAAACAATTAATGTTTTTTAATTTAATTTATTTAAAACAAAATGCAATTAAATAAAAAAAATAAAAGTTTTTTATAACTAAATACCAAAAATTTTATCAAAAAAAAATTATTTTTCAAAAACTAAACGATTCATATGTATAGTCAATAGGTGTCAACACTGTTATGCAGTTATCCAGTTCTATGCAGTGATTGGCTGACTATGAGATCCATTGGGCAATTGGCAGCCAATCAGATACTGTAGAGTCCATTGAAAATAAAATAATGTAATAAAAAGTTTATGCAATCATTTGATTGATACGATTGACAACAATAACAACAATAACAACAACACATGTTTTGTTCATCGGATTCATCAACTGATCCATTAAACTACTGATCAACAAAAAAAAAGTATTCAAAGATATAAACTATGGATACGATTAAAACCGAACCAATTGGTGATAATAATGAAGAACAACAGCAACAAGAAGTGGTGGAAGAAGTGATAATGACTTTATCGCGTGAAGACCAACGAAACAGATTGAATGAATCACTCCAAAGGTTGACACATCTATGGATCAGATTAGCGGAACACTTGAGTACTACAGATATTATAAGATTACGCGTAAAGGTTGACAAAGTTAGTCAAAAGATTTCAACGACCGCTGAAGTCGGTTATCATCAATTGGTCAGCGATTATGACCGTCTGATTGACGAAATTACTGATGATATTGTCGACGAAACAACTAATTCAAAGAAACAATTGGACGACCAATTGATGTCTCGACGACAACCACTACTTAAGACTGTTGCAGAAAAGCAATTCAAAAGACCAAACAATTTATCAGTAGTTGATTTGACTGAAGAAATTTGTGGACAAAAAACTAATGATAAGAATAATAATAATACGAAAGTATTGACTGAAATCAAAAACAGACTTTTGTTTGACTTAGACATGACTACTACTACCACTACTACTACTAATACTACTGCTTCTGCTAATCAATTCTTGGAATCATTGCCGCCATCGACTAGTTCTCGACAACAGCCGATGAGTACCACAACTAATGACAACAAGAGTAGTACCGATAGTAGTAGTAGTAGTAGTAGTGATGAAAAGTCTACTAAAGTTACTGAGACTTCAGGTATGATATCATCGCCAGTCGATAATTATTGTTTAGATTCAGATGAAAATGTTGTTACAAATAAATGGTCAAAAACCACAACAACAACAACAAAACGAAAACAATTGGCAAACAATAGTCTAGAAGATAATAACCAATCGTTGTCTAAAATATCCGCCGCCACTACTATCGTCAACAACCGTACGATTGGCGGTACAATTATTTTAACTAATTATGTCTTATTTGGTACCTATAAGTCATGTCTACAATCACTCGAATTTACCGACAATAATGGTTTACGATTGGCAAATGTATTGCCAATTATACCATCAAATAGTAGCGGCGATTATAAATTCATTGATCTAATGATTCCCTACAATGATATCAATCGGATAATGTGTTGTACCGACCGGTCAAACCATCGACAACAACAATGGCTACTATTTGTTAAACCGAATCGTTTAGCAAATCTAAATATTCAACAATCGTTGAATCTGTTGTTGTTGTTATCGTCAGCAACTGATCCAACCGATGGTCAACAGCGGCAGCAGAAAAGTGGTCCAAACTTTGATATCACATCCATGGATAAGAGCGATCATTATATTATAATCGTAATGAATGAATATATTATTACCGATTGGTTTTACAAGAGATTGCAGGAAAAATTTCGTAAAGAATATCCAAAGATTCAGATGAAACTGTTGACCGATCGTAAGGCCTGTGAACTACATAATCGATCGATGGTTTGTTTGATTCCGAAGAAAAACAAGAAACAAAAAAAACAAAAACTAAAATATAATTAATTTTAATAATATAATATGTACCGTAATATAATTTTTTACCGATTTTTACTATAGTTATGTAAATTAATATACAATTTGTTAATCTATAGTATAGATTCTATACATTTATATACAGTATATATAGTATAATACAGTATTTAAATCATATGTATATATATATATATATATTGACATATTCTGTATAAATGCAATATACGGTTTGAATAATAAAAATATTATTTTATTTTTTTGTTGTAAAATATAAATGTGTTTAATATTAATGACCAGAAAAACACAAAAATAAAATTATAAATACATTTCACCGGTAATTGTATTACCAGTACTACTCGTAATACAAAAATATATAAATAATACAAAAATTTTTATTTTATATCAACTATAAAATTATTGTATATCTAAATCATTATATACAGGTATACAATATTATTATAAAAATCTAATATCATATAAAATTTAAATAAATTATTTTGTTTAAAAAAAACAAATTATATATATTTTCAAAAAAGACTATACGGTAGGTATGATTGTTAACTAAAAACTAAAACTATTTAATTTTCAATTAAATTTATTAATTATTAAAATCAAATAAAAAGTCACACAAAAAAAGTTTTATATTAAATTCAATTAGAAAAAAAACAATTTACCGAAAAAAACAAAATTATTGAAAACAAAATTAAAGGTAAATTAAATTTATAAAAAAAATAACAAATAAACTAATAATTAATTTCTATAATAATAATCAATCGATAATAATTAATTATTTTATTAAATATATGTAAATTTATATACAATTTTTTTTTAATTATTATTATTGTTTATTGTTAAAAATCTACACAACACAAAATACAATTTAATTTATTATATAATTATAATTATTTTTTTGAAAAATATAAATGTATGGTTATATGACCAACAAAAAAAATCAATCAATCAATCAATTAAAACAAATTTTTTTAAATAGATATTTGTGTTGTTGTTGTTTTAATAGTAGTAGTATTAGTAGTAGTAGTAATAATAGTCAAACACCTGTATTATTATTATTATAGGGTTGACTATTACACGATAAAAATAAAACAACAAAAATAATACATTATTTTTTTTATTTATTTATTTGTTGGGTTATCAACAGCTGATGATAATGATTGAGAAGTGGAGGAAGAAGTAGTAGTAGAAGAAGATGAAACAACACCCGATTTGGTGAACACATAAATCGATCGCCGAAAGCCTACAAATAAACCAACAAAAAAAAAAACAATAGTTATAAACAAACAATCGGTAAAACTTCGGGTTTAAGTCATATCCATCCATCCATACATACCTTTAGATGCATTCTCTGGAGTGCCTATCAGTTCCGATTGACTAAAACCTACTTCTCTTGATAGTAGATATTCATTGAACTGTTCCGGTTTGAATTGGATTGCATTGAAATTTTCTAATGTTGTTTCCTATAATAAAAAAAAATATATATTATTTTTAATTTAAAAAAAAAATAATTAACACAAAAAAAATCATACATTAATTTTCTTCTTCTTTTTGTACGAACAAAACGGTTGGGCCTCCAAAATCAGTCGACCGTTAGGCCTGAGCTGACCAAAAATACGTTTAAACAATTGTCGGACACCCTGGTCTCCCCAATTCAAATGAATCCATTTGGTTAGCGATAGACATAGTATGGTATCAAACTGTTGTTGTCTCTGATGTTGCGGTGACGACCAGTTATCTGTTTCCGATATATAGTTACCGCTAATAAACCGTACGTTTTTCGGAAACGACACGTCATTATTATTATTACCGGCGGAACTCATGGCTAACGGTCCGTGAATTAAGGGTAACGATATGGGAAAGTCGTCCGACTGAACAACACTTGATGTTATATAATGGCGAATGTTTTTGTTGGCTATTCGGATGAGTTGACTGTCGATATCGAGACCGACAATAGATTTTGGTTCAAAATTTTTAGCTATCATTAGTGTTATGTGACCGACATTGCAGCCAATGTCCAGAACATCTTTGTTATGAAACCAATCTTTTTTCAGACAATTCAGACGCAGATCGTTGTGAACAGCGTTACGATAACCATAGTATTGATTGTAATTTCCGTAACGAAATGCTAAGTCTTTTGATCGAAATTTTTTCGGTGAATCAAACTTTTTCTGTTGATTTTTATTAAACTTCTTGTATTTCACTCTTTGATTATTATTATTATTATTATTAGTTGTTGTATTGTCTTTTGTCGTCTCATTTATTGTCTGTTCAGAACTGGTCGATGGTTTTATAGTAGCGGTAATGTCGACACCACTACCACCAACAGCAACATTATTATTATGAATTCGTCTATGCTTTGAACAGCTGATCCCTTGGGGAATCACTGGCGACACTATTTTATCACTAATGGATTTTGTTGTTGTTGTTGTTGTAGTGGTCATCAAACTATCGGCCGCTAGTTTCAAAACTTTTGGCGATTTTGATGTCGTATTGATGTCTAATTTGTTAGTCTTTTGCTGATCCAGTAAATCACTCGTCAACGACAATGACTGTTCAATACCGTCGATGGATTTAACTGTAGGTTCGACGACAACCACTGCTGCTGTTGTTGTTGTTTCGCCGCCACCGCTGCTGCCGGTTGTTGTCGTCGACTCGGATTCAGTTCGCTTTCGTTTATTCTTATGTTTACGCGATTTGCACTTAATCTTTGGCGATATGAGACTAATTTCGTCGTTCGTAATCAGGTTTAGCGGATCGTTAATATTGGCCGGTATTAGTACCTCGACTTGTGTGGTCTTATGTCGGGGTGTCGGCATCGGCGACGATTGCGGTGTCAGCTGATTGGCGCCGTCGGCCAAACTCGACAAGTTTAGTGGATCCGATATATTGCCGCCTAATAGAAATCTTGTCGGCAAAATTATACGATCTTTTCGGCGTTTAGCGGCCAAAAACCGTTGGTCAGAATTGTTGGCGGCACCCGAAGAATATCGACGTTTTCGGTAATTATTATTATCACTACCACTCCGTTTGCGCGACTGTTCGCTTGTTTTGAACGATATTGTGTGACACCGTTTCGTATTGTTCAGCGACCACTCGCGCAAACCTCGGGCCATCCGATGCTGTTGTTGTTGTTGTTGGCCATCACCGCAGTGGTTGTTGTCTTTGAAACGTTTTTGGTTATCCGATAAAATCTTCGGCGACTTATAGCCACCACCACCGCCGCCGATGCCGCCGCCACTAGAATCCAGCGGGTGATCACTGATTCGGGGAGAGGCCGCCACACATGTTATGCCTCCCGAAGACATTGTTGTTGTTGGTGTTGTCCACTAATATTTCTTTAGCAAAAAAAAAATCTTCAGCAAAGCTATCGGTGAAGACATACACAAATCAAAAACGTTTTGACATTACATGTGTAGTCACGTGACTATCGTTTTGTTTACAACAACTAAATGTTATGTTATTTCTGTTGACAATCGAAACACAAACAAACAATCGATCGATCGATTCTATCGATTCTATCGAACATCAAATATGGCGTCGTTTTAATTACAATTACTGCCGTTTTCGGACCTCTAATCGGACCTAATTAGTGGCCACTGACCACTTGATTGGCTAAAAAAATCGACAAATTTGAAGCTAATAAACAATTTAAGTGTCAAATATTTAATGAAAATCTATTAGAAATGTATTTTTTTTGGGGTTTTTTTTCTGCGTGAAAGTGAAAGTAATGTCTAATAAAAATAAAATAAATATTAAAAATAATAATATTTTTGTTCGACTTTTTCGTTGGCTTTTATACAGTACTCACAGTATTGGGTTATTACAAAACGAGTTGTTCATATAAAACGTTACGCACACTGTATTGAAGGAAATGCATTGAAAATTCTATCTATAAATTCGGATAAAGCGTTACACATAGTATTTTTTGAGACCCCTTTTTTATTTGTTTGTGATTAGTATTTATACTATACATAGGAAATCCTATGTAAATCAATGTATAATATAGTGTTTTACTAACCATTTAATTATTTTGTCCCCTTTTTTTTCTCTATCTATTTAATGTATTAAATCATTCAATACTATCAATGCTATCAATAGTCAGTCATCTAATTATCATTACATCAGATGATTGATTGACTGACTGATGAAGACATCTGATCCCATCAATTGATTGACTAATTGATCGGTTGGTTACCACCAATTGGTGTTGTATATTGAAAACCAAACCAGAAAAAAATGATTTACAACTTTTACATCTTCGACGGTAACGGTTTGTGTCGATTCACTTTGAACGGCGGCGGCGGCGGCGGCAGCGGTAACAGTGGTGGTGACCAACAATCGGACAACAATACCGAAGACCAGACTCGATTGCTATACGGTTTTCTTTATTCGTTGAAATCATTTGGCCAACGTATCGGTCCCGTACTGGTCAAAGACAACAATTTTCTCACTTATTCAACAAACGCCTACCAACTGATACTACTGGAAATGGCCACTTCGGTAAAGTTTGTACTGGTGGTCAGTCCCGATTCGACCAAAAACAATGAATACTATAAACAATTGTTGCGCGATATGTATCGTACGGTTTATGTTGAATATTATGTCAAAAATGGTATCAAATCTTCGTCATCAGCGTCTTCGTCGTCATCAGCGGCGACGACGACATTACCATCAGTTGATACTACCATCGATTCGCAACTGTTTCGCGACAAAATTGTCGAGTTTTTTAATAAACTCTAAGATCATCCTCTAAACCACTTAACTGATCCCAAATTGGTGTACAAATTATTGTAAATATTTATAAAAAAAATAAATAATTTTATATATCATTTGAAAATTTTGAAAAATGAAATATTTATTATTATTATTACTATTAATGTATTATTAAATTATTATATATTAATAAAAAAAATGTGATTACAATTGAAATGTGATGACAACAAGTTATCGGGGAGTGTCGGGTGGGTATATGTCATCACTACTACTAGCGGTACTATCGGGTAATACTATTCGGACTTATCTTTAGGACTTTCGTTATAGTAGAGGAATACAAAACTGAAGATAAAGACGCCGAACATCATCGAGAATGAGCTGATATAGTAGGGATAGGCGGACGGTATGAATCGTTCGTATTGGGTGTGCTGTAAGGGCCGAACAGATACCTGTGTCGTACTGAACACATAGGTAAACCCGATGCGCTGATAGTCGACTTTGAATTGGTAGACACCGTAGACGTCGGGTATCTTGAATTTGGCGACATAGGTGTTGGTTGTCGGCGACTTTTTCAACAGTTGCCTAACAAACGGATCGATTCGTACGAATTCCAATTGGACATCCGTGGCGTCAAACGGTAACCATTTTCCCGAGACATAGCGTTCGAGTTCAATGGAAAACACGACATCTTCGAGTACGGTATAGGCTTCGGGCGGTACAGTATCGCCGGCTTTATGATGTCGGATACGGCCGACTCGGAGTACGCCTTCCTCTTTGAATACCCATTTGGATAGTGCAACGGCTAGGGCTTCGTTACCCGATTTTTCCCGTTTACTATTGCTACCAACGCTTTTCTGGACATCGGCCGTGAAAAAGGCATCACTGAAAAAGTCTAGCGAACCAGTGAACACTACTCGGGCATTGTTACGGGCCTGTAGTGCCGATACCATCAGTATGTTTTTGCCGATAGCGTGCGGATATTCGGTAATTTTTTTTGTCGGATTATACGAATAGGCGGTCGAAGAGGCCAACAGTACGTCCAATACGAGTGGATTGTTTTGATCGGAAATCATACCGATTCCTTTGTATAGTATGGGTCCAATTGACTTTTTCTGGCCTACAATGGTTGGAGCGTCCAATAGATTGGCCGAATCGGCTACAACTAGTACGTGTTGGCCATCATCGGACTGATCGTAGTTCATATGGTCGATAACTTGGGCACCTTCTTCGTCAATTTCGACACCGACTTCGGTGGCCAAATCACGTATAGCATCGCCAACATTGCTGTCGGCGGCAACCAATACGTTGCCGCCGTTGTCTATGAATTCGGCAATGGCTTCGACGTTGACATTACCGCCAAATTCTGTGGCCAACAATTAAAAAACAGCAAAAAAAATTTAGTTAACAATTGATCCCAATTTTTGTTTCGTTTTTTTTGTTGATACAAACCTTCAACAGACGGAGCAAATATAATCAGATTCTTGTATATATGGCTGCCATACTTGACCAGCGATAGGTTCGGGTCGTCAGCCGATCGGTAGGTTAGCTGAAAGCCTCTCTCTGTGTGTGTAATGAAATGAAATGAAAAAATGAAAACAAAATTATTGATTACATAGATATGTTTGGATCAATTGGATGTTTGTAAACAATAAACAACAAACGTTGCAACGATCTGAAGAATATCGAGTGTGTCTCTCTGATGGACAGATTGTCCAATAAGACCAACGTGTCGGGCGGTGGCGGTGACGGCGATGATTGTTGTTGTGCCGATACTATGGTCAATACTGTCAGTGACAACACTGTCCAGACTAGGAAGCGATGCATTTTTGATTTGATAACCACTAAGAGATAATATAAGACAACTAAATGAATGATTGGATCAACTGTTGCGGTGGTGTTAGTGTGAAGTCAATGCCGGCTATTATTATACAGTTTATGTGTAATACAGTGTTTGTATTGAAAATCAATGTAAAAGTATATGTTATACAGTATATGTATTGTATTGAATACAATATGTATTGAAGTGTTGGCATATAATTTAATTTTTTACATTTTAGTATTATATATAGTGTACTCTATTGACTAAAAAAAATATATATATATATAGCCAAACATAAAAGTAAAAACTTTTTATTTTATTTTATTTTTAATTTGTTTGTTAATTATTTTTTTTAATTATATATTTATAAAAATTAAATTAAAAAATTATATATTTATAAAAATTATATAATTAATTAGTATATTTAATATTTAACTAATAATTAGTTTATAAACAGTTTTATATTATTATTATTATTACCTATAATATTGTAATTTACAACATTTAACGGTAGATTTTTACGGCAATAAATTCAAATTTATGTGCAAAAAATATAATAATAAAATTGATAGCATTTAAAAAAAATAAAAATTAAGTTTTTAAATAATAATAATATAAATACATTATAATTTAATTATAATATATAAATGATACCAACAAAAAAACTTTCGATGAGTATTATCAATAAAATATTATGTATTTTTATATACATTTATAGTACTGTATGATTATAGATATAAAATGTTTTATTGTCATACATATCAATATCAAACATATATATATATATTAGTAAATTGTATATCATATCAAAAAAATTAGTTATAATTAATTATTACTATTTTTTTCTAAAAAAATTATTTAATTGACTTTATTTTCTTGTTGTTGATGTCGTTGTTGTTGTGATTAAGAAACGATAGATTTCGATGACAACAATGAGTCGGTCCGACCATCCAATTGTATTCATAGGATAATCGATGTTCGGTTTCTTTGACACACAATCGCCCAATTGATTGTAAATTATTGTACAATAACTTCATTTGATTAGCCGATTGTTTATGAATGACCAGATGTGCGTTCAGACAACCGCGGGATTGATATTCGGTATCAAATCGGCGGTCGTGTAAGCGATTAATATTCAACGGCGATAGCCATACGCCCAGCGATACGTCTTCGTTGCGATACAGTTGCAATAGATGTGAATTTTCGGCAACAAATCTGACCAACGGTTCCGATACTATATAACCGCCGCCCAATGCGTACGGCAGATATCTGTCGCACAGTGACCACTGCGTCTCTGACCACTGACCCGTACGCTTGACAAAAGCTCGGCCATCAAAATAACCCCAATATATGGGCCGATATGGATGAATGTCTTTATTACCGCTGCTGCCGACGGCGCCACTGACTTTACGTTCAACTAATTCATCAAACAGTTGATCCATTCGTACGAACGAATCGTCGTCTAATTTCATTAGATAATTGAATTGCCATTTCTTTGAAAACCATTTGAATGTTAGTAAAAGTTTATGCGATAGCGAAGTATAGGTGTCTTTCAGATGAGGAAATAGTATTAAATCGTTGAATTGGTTTTGTTCGTCAAGAAGTTCACGCATTTCTTGTTCATCTAAGTCAAGGGAACCGATAATGAAATAGTATTTACAGTGACGTTCACCCGACAGACGCATCCATGACTGACGAATGGCCAGACGTCGGTCGCTATTAGCGGCGGCACTGAAGATACAAACAATCAGAAATGATTTGTCGGTAATCAGAGCGGATGTGTCGGCCAATTGTTGTTGTTGTTTGGCGGCGGCCACTAGTCGTCGGGCGGCTGACTCTTCGTTGGACTCGATTGTCTGCCAGTTGAACATCAGTCCCAGCATTAGGCCGACGCTGAAGACAAACAAATGTGTAAACAGTTGATAATGTGTGCGACATGTCTTCTTCAACGGCCAGTAACTGATGGTCAACAACGACATCGACAACAGTATTGTTGTCTTCATTTGTCACATTGTTTTCTTGTTTTGTTTCAATTGATTCAATCAAATCAATTGGTTTTTTTGTGATTATAATGACTACAACAACATCACAACAATAACACGTGAATTGTGTTTATATCGACCAATAGGTGTCACTACTAGTCATAGCATTGTTAGTATTGGTTTCAATAATGTATTAAAAATAACTATTCGATTATATAAGAAACCAAAACAATAGTAGACGCATATCACAAACACATAGATTTATTATAGATTACACTTAATATATACATACAAATTTCAAATAGTGTGTATAATAACTATGTAACATATAGTCGCTTAACATTAAACATTAATATTGCGCGCATATATACATATAATATATATATATATAAACTGTCTCACTTTGTGCTAAACCAAAAAACAATAGCAGACGCACCACAAGTTACATAGATTATCATAGATTACACTTAATATATATACATACAATATAGCTTAGTGTGTATAATAACTATGCCGTGTAATAGACTCCGCCCCACCCCTTAAGCATTAGACTTTATAATATTGCGCTCATTTATATAATACTGTATAATCTTATATTGAAATTATTGTTATGGTTTTGAATATAATCTGAACATTTTATTTTGTTTGAAATCATAGACCAATCAAATCAATGTATAGTTTGAGTTCAAAATCAATTGAAACGTTTTGTTTGTTTGAAGTGAAGAAAAAAAAAATCCAATCATTCAGTCATTCATTTGATCTAATAGTTAGTATTCATGTGTTTACTGTCTGTCTGTTTGTTGTCTTCAGTAGTATAACCATTGAATTGTGTCCATCAAGTGTTGGGTTGTTTTCCTCTCTCTCTCTCTCTCTCAAGAATATGGATGAGTTGACACCGCAAGTGGATGTCAACGATCTATTGAATGGTACGAAATGTAATGCCGACGAAGTGACCAGAAATCTGTTCAAAGATCATAAGCCGTCGATTGTTTTCAGTGAAGATCAACAGCCGATGTCGATGACGAAGAATGAAACGCTGAAGACTTATCTGAGGATACGATCGGTTAGTGAATTTGGTGTCCATAAGCGCAACGAATACTATAAAGTGGTCGACAATTGTAAACTAGAAGTTTGTCCGCCGGCGGGCAGTAATGCCAGCAAATTTGGTGTCGAAACCGAACGAAAACGGTTTACATTTTCGCACGTTTTCGATGAAAGTGATAACCAAATGATTGTTTACGAGGCGTTTGCGTTGCCGATTGTCCAGCGATTTCTTGGCGGACAAAATAGTCTGCTGTTTGCCTACGGTATCACATCGAGTGGGAAATCCTATACAATGCGCGGATCGACAACCAATCCGGGAGTGATTCCCCGGGCATTGAACAGTATATTTGAAGTTATTGGCAATAAAATTGATAGACAAGTACCCAGTCTTAAGCCGCAAACGTTTGGCGAATGTCAGTGTCTAACGGAAACCGATCGACAAATGGAAGAACGTATTCGTCAGTTTGTCTTTGAAAATAGTGACAAAAGTTTTGAAGGATATATGAATTCGTTTCGGTCGCAGATATCGGTAATCAATAGTACATCAGCTACTAATGGTAGCAGTCATTCACAATCATCTTCGATGGTATGGAACGATGTCTTACATTCGACATTCAGAAACAATAGCTCAACAGGAATCAGGTGTTCGGTTTGGATTACATTCTACGAGATCTACAACGAAAACATCAAAGACTTGTTGGCCATTGATGTCGAAGACGAACGTAAACCGAAGATTATGCTCATTAGAGACAGGAATGAAAACTATTATATATCGGGTTTGCGTCAGATATGTGTCGGCAGTGCTGAAGAAGCGTACAAAGTCTTGCTTTTCGGTCAAAACAATTTACACATTTCATCGACTAATCTGAATAAGACATCCAGTCGTTCGCACTGTGCGTTCAGTATATCATTGATAACTAATTATCGTAATCCTATCGACCAGAAGATTGCTTTCAATCTGAATCAGTAAGTATTTGACAGATTTTTTTTGTTTTGTTTTTGATTTTTAAGTAATTATCTAACTATTGATAACTTTTTAATAACTATTGATAACTATTATCTAATTTTTTTTATTTATGATTTAGTCTATCGATTTGCGACTTAGCCGGCGCTGAACGAAGCAAAAAGGCCAACAATGCCGGCGATCGGATCCGCGAGGCCGGCAATATCAACGGTTCGCTGCTGTCACTGAGTCGGGTCATCAGCGGTATCCGACACAATCAAAAATATGAGTTAGTATTGTTGTTATTGTTTATATATTTTATTACATTAATTAATTAATTAATTGATTTGATTATCTTCACCACCAAAACAACAACAACAATAGAAACGATCCGTCTATGAAAAAACGTTTTGTCAACTTTCGCGACTCTAAACTGACAAAAGTCTTTCAGCCGTATCTGAGTGGTAGCGGAACCGCTGCAATGATTGCCAATTTGAATCCGTCGCCCGATCTGTTCGACGAAACACTGTTTGCACTGAAGTTTACTGGAGTTGCCTCACAGCTAGTGGTCACTCGCGAAGATGAACAAAACAAACTACAGGATTCACTTAAACGATTGACACAGATTTGGATGCAATCGTCGGAACAGTGGTCAAAGTTTGCACACTTGAGACCAACTAAGCCATCGATTTCGATGATTCAATCGATTAAAGAAGAAGATGAAGACGATGAGGACAGTGACGATGATCTCAATACAACCATTCAGGAGCTGACCCAAAGAGCTCAAGATATTAGTCAACTGAATCTGAATGCAGAAGAGATAGAAACTCTTCGATTGAAAGTCGAAGAACTAACTGATAAGCTAAGGACAGCTGAGATAAATAATATGGATTTTGAGATTGAAGTTCGGCGTCAAGTGGTTAACGATTATAACGATTTGATTACTGAAATGGAAGAAATTGCCGACGAAAAGGATAAATCCAAGAAACGATTGGAACAGATGATGACTCAGCGTTTGTTGAGTGCCGAAGAGTTACACAAAAAAGAAAGACTAGAACTCCAGAGCCGATTGACTGGAATGGAGACAAAATTATTTGAATTGAATGAAGAGATTTGCCGGCAAAAGGAAGAGAAAGATAAGGCACTGACAGAAGTGGAACTAATTAATCGAGTTTTGGCCGAAAAAGAGACGATTATCAAGAACTTGGAATCATTGCGTTCACAGCAACAACTCGAGTCGATTATCACCACCGATGACAACATAAACAATAACAACAACAACAATGAAAAGCACTTTAAAGATATGAATACATCTACTATGGATGTTGTTGTCGTTGAAACAACTGATTCATCCACTGCTGCACTAAACATATCGATGATAGACAAAGCCGTCGAAACATCGATAATCAAATCAAACGATTGCGAAACATCTGTGACCGATATGGAAGTGGAGTCAACAACAACAGGTGTCGTTGAAATGTCCGATAAGTCGACCAGTTTTTCTCAGATTAATTTCAGTTGCGATAAATCAGTTTCATGTGATACCCAATGTCCCGGTTGTGAGGTCATCAACAACAACAACACTGATATCATTGAAAAGTTAGATAAATGTGTGTCGACATCGCCATCAACAACAACAACTGATGTTTGCACTTCACCTAAACAACTGATGACCACTACTACTACTTCTACATCACCTAAAGTTTTGACGCCAATGATTACCACTTCAACATCTCCTAACAAGAATTTCGCTGATAATTATGTCAATAGATTAGAATATCAACAATTGATTGATAAGCTTTCATCAAATGATAATGAAATCGTCAGATTTAGACAGTTGTTGACCGAAAAAGAGATTATAATCGATATGAATCGTAAGATTACTTGCGAAAGGGATCAAACTATCAGCCAATTGAAAGAAGAGATGAGTCGACTGCAGGATAAGCTCCGAACTGCCGGTGACTATAACTTTGAAGCCCTATTCAAGAACAATGTTAAGCCGACATCGAAGTCGTTGTCTTCGAACAACTCATCATCAGTTGCCTCATCAACAACAACAATGTCGACCAAATTAGAGGATACGATGTCTAGTGTTGTTGACACTAATGGTGACATTACTACAACAACATCGACAACAACTGGTAAATCGAAAAAGTCGGCCAAATATTCCTCGAGAAAACCTAAACCAAACTTAAACACATCCATTGAGAAACGTTATCTGTCAGCGATGGACACATCAATGGATGTAAGTATTTACAGTATTTGTAATCAATCAATTGATTGTAATATTTATATATTTAAAAAAAACTTTAAAATCATTTTTCACGTCCACAAAGAAAACCATTGAAGCCGTCCAGTCATCTCAATCATCGCAGCGATCGGATACAGCTCACGATGAAGTCGGCGACGCTATCTTTTCGACGAAAAAAGTGGCAAAAAAGACAACCAAACGAAAACAACATCAAACCAATAGTTCGTCGACTGAAAACAATAGGACATCTCAAGAGGTAAGCCCCAGAAGACATGTTTTTCTTTATTATTATTTGTTTTGTTTTTTATATCTTAAATGTTGTCTTCATTTGTTTGATTATTTGTTTTTTTTTCTCTTAAATAGTGTTTAATAAGAGACACTATTGAGGGCTCGCGGCGGAAGAGACCGGCCCTCAAAAGCCTGTACTCGTCGCCCATCTCTCCCATACCTACCGTAAGTGTCTCTCACTATCTCTCTCTCTCTCTCTCTCTCTCTCTCTGTAATTGATTTCTCTTTTTGTATGTCAATCATAACACACACACGTAATAACTAATACTAATACAAAATATATTAATAAAAATTAATTAATTTTGTTTTTTCTCTCATCAAAAAACAGGCCGAACGGGTGACCAGATCCAGGGCTAAGAAATCTATAAAGTTTTAAATTGATATATATATATATATATATATATGAATATAAATTTTTGTATAATTTTATTATGATTTTTTATTATTATTATTATCAATATATACCGTAATTATTATTTTTGTTTTTTATTTGAGTTTAAGTTTTTTTTAAAATATTTTTTTTAATCTGCAAACAAACAAAAAAACATTTGTGTGAAACATATACAGTATATATATAAAAAATATTCATTTTGTTGTTGTAAATATAATGAATCATATTTTTTTACAAAAAAAAACAATAAAAATCATTAAATATTTTTTTTAATATGTTTTTATTCAAATTGTTTGTTTTATTTATAATTTTTTTTATGTTTGTGTGTGTGAAGTGCGCTAAGTATTTGACGAAAAATTTTTAAATTAATTTTTTTTATATATACCATATATACAGTAGTAATACCTTATAATATGAAAACTATATATAAAATGATAATATCATTGCATTTTGTTTAATCATTTAAAAAACAATATATAGTATACAAGTGTTTCGGTAAAAGTTTCGGTCAAAATAACTTATAATACAAATCTTTGTTTTTTTTCAAAAAAAAAATTAGTTTTTCAAACAAAACAACAAAAAAATTGTTTCAACTCTTCGACTGTTGGCTTTGATTATAATGTCTGTACTCTGGCTTTAATTCCCACATATTTTTGTGCGGATTCTTCGGATTGTAAACACACATCTCTTTTAGGATTTCTTTCAGATATGGCTTTTAGTTAGTTAAGAGAAAGAGAGAAAGAGAGACAACAACAACAAAAAAAACAATTAAAAGACAATAATTTAATCCACAAAAAAAACTAAACAAACAAAACATACAACTGGTTGTCGAGTAATCTTTTCCAAGTCTTTGATATTATAGTACTGGTGTTTCTCGAAAGCCCTGAACAATACATCCATAACTTTGTCTTTGTCTTCGCGTGACTTTTTGCCTTCGGCTTTCTTCTTCAGTTCGAACTCCACCTATGATATCGTGTGGGATAAAGAAGTCAAATCAAATCGGTTCCCAAAAAACAAACAAAACAATTCATTTACATCTGTCTTGTGCTGCGAGATGGGCTTGAAATTGGTAACCGCTTTCTCCAACTGTTTTACTGTACGGGTCGGCTGCGAGGCCTGTTTGATGGCACACATCTTCAGATTCATGTACCTGTCGTTACTTATTGGCCGGTATTCGCCTTTCTGGACAACATGTCCTTCGAGTGCCAATCCAACGGACGAGTCATCTGTTTAGTTATAGTTATCATTAGATCCACACATAAACAAAACAAATGGATTGTCAAACCATTTGCCCAATCAATCAATCAATCAATGAAATCAATTAAAAACCAAACACTTAAATACCATTGCTTTGCGAAAATACGGCCAAAGTTTGTCTTTGGATGTCTGATATGGAAAACTGATGTTCAATGGGAATGGCGGCCAACTCGAGAGCATCGGTTGATTTTGTATCAGTTGTTTTGGTCAACTCGACCGATAAATTGAATAGGATTTCCGGTTTGCCATTTGAACCTCTGGATCAGTTAAAATCAAAAAAACAAATTAAGTATCAATTGTTTGGATCAATCAATTGACAGACAGACACATCACACATACTTATTGATCTTCAGACGACCCAATTCGCTCATCGGCTGCGCTTTTTGCCACCGATTGTCCATATATTTCGGTACTTTTACTAACCATACGCCGCGGCTGGCATTAGTACAGTCCAGACCACTGCCCGCCGGACAGGAGTCGGCGGCGGCTGTCGCTGACGATGACATTGTTATCGCTGATGAAAATGATTTATTAGTCAGTGATTATGGTTTTGGACATCAAATCTTTGACAACAATTAATAACAAACTAATCGATACTTACTTTTAATTTATTTAAAAATTGAAAAAAAATAAATAAATTTAAAACTTAAATATCAATTAAAAAAATAAATATATTTTTTATATATTATTAATTCAATAACTAATTCAATAAAACAATTACTAAATATTTATTTATGTTTTTATTTAATTTATTTCAATTCAATTCAATTGAAATAATATGTAAATAAAAACGTTTTACTAAATAATAAACATTACAGTAGTTGTTAGTAGAGATGTTTGCATTGTTTTTATTGTGTGCAAAAATAATTGTATTATAGAGGTGTTTGTTTCTCTAAATAGTTATAGTTTAAAATTATCACAAACTTTTGAAATCTGAATTCTATATGTCCTTCCGTCTGTCTGTCTGTCCTTCCGTCTGTCTGTCTGTCTGTCTGTCTGTCTGTCTGTCTGTCTGTCTGTCTGTCTGTCCTTCCGTCTGTCTGTCTGTCTGTCTGTCTGTCCTTCCGTCTGTCTGTCTGTCCTTCCGTCTGTCTGTCTGTCTGTCTGTCTGTCTGTCCTTCCGTCTGTCTGTCTGTCTGTCTGTCTGTCCTTCCGTCTGTCTGTCTGTCTGTCTGTCTGTCCTTCCGTCTGTCTGTCTGTCTGTCTGTCTGTCTGTCCTTCCGCATTTGATTAAATTTTCAAATTTTGACATCAGATTTGGATTAAGCATCAAAAATAAGATATAGGGGATCAGAATTAAAATTTTGATATCTCTTCAGGAACATAGAGAAAATGGCGGCCAAAGTTTAAAAATTTTTTATCTAAAAATATAATTTAAATAAAGTATCAAAAACAAGCATAAGGAATTAGCATTAAAATTTTTATATCGTCGGGAACAGAAAATGACGGTCAAAATAAAAAAAAATTAAAAAAAAATATAAATAAAAATTTAAATAGCCTCAAAAATAAGATATAGTTATTTGTATAAAAAATTTAATATCTTTAAGAACGTATATAAAATGGCGGCCAAAGTAAAAAAATTTTAAAATTAATATTTAATTCTTGGATTGGAATTAAACATTAAAAATAAGTTATATGATATTAGCAAACAAGTTTTTATATCTTAAATAAGCTTGAGTTGATACTCTTTAAATTTAAGTTATATTTATAGTAAATATAATTTATTTTTGATATTTGATACTCTATGAATTGTTTGAGTTTATTTTTTATACTGAATCATTTGATACTCCATATTACTAAAGTTTATTCTGTGATACTGAGTGATTTGTTTCCCCACATGACTATAGTTGATTTTATTTTGTCATACTTAATCATTCGATTTTAATTTAATTTTTAATTTGGATTAGGAGTTCGTATGGAAATGCTTTCTAGCATTCTCAACTAGTTTATTATTATAAGTATGTATCTTTTAATTAGTATTTATATATTTTAAAAAAATATATATATTAAATTTCTATTAAATCTTATGATTTTTAATAGTATATAAATTTACCAAAAAAAAAACAATATAATTTATTATCAAATTTTATATAACACTACTAAATAAAATAAATATTGTTTAAACATTAAACAATAAAAAATTAAAAAATAATTTTAAATTTCTTAATTGATAATTAATAGTTGAAAATATTTACATTATACTATTGTATTACAAATTTAATTTTTAAAAAAATATTTGATTACTTTTTTCTATTTTTTTTTATAAATATTACAAAAATTAAATAATTAATTAAATAGAAAATAAAATAATGTAATTTTAAAAAGTTAACAAACATTGAAATTAATAATTTTATTTACCTATTAGTGTATTAAAGATTATATACATATTATTTTTATTTATCAAATTTATTTTTTAAAAATATTTTTCTAAAAGCATTATAATTTTTTATTGATTTGTTTTTTTTCAATAATTATTTAACTAAAGAGTGAAATATATTTTTAAAAAATAGTTTTAGATATTTAAATTTAAATATATTTGATTACAATTACGAATAATTATGACTAATAGTAATATTTATAAAAACATATTAAGAAAGTTTGTTAAACTAAAAATTTATAAACAAATAATTTTTATTTATATTTAAACAAATATTTAAAAAAATATCAATTAATATTATAATATGGAATTTTTCATAAACAATAAGTTGTTTTAATATTATTATTTTTATAAAATATACTATTAATACAGTATATAACTAATAAATATTCATAAATGTATTGATAATTAAGTGTAGTTAAACAAAAATATATGAGAAAATTTTTTTAACTAAAAAAATTATATAGAAAATTATTTTGTTATTTTTTCTGAAAAAAAATCAATTAATAGTAAAATATTTCAAAATCATAATCAATATTGTTTTATAATGTAAATTTATTAATTAATTTTTTTTAAACAGATCCTATAGATGTCAAAATCAAATGCGATTACACTTGTCTTATGCATAATAATGGCATTAATGCTAATATCGGCGATAGTTGTCATCATTTATCGCAAACATACAGTAATTACTGCACAAAATGCCAATCAAAATATGGACAACAATTTCGGACAAACTATTAGTGATAGAAATGCTGAGACATTTGATGACAACAATAACGACAACAACATCAGGTGTGGACCAAACAATTTGATTGAACTTCAGGTACGACAACAACAACAACAACAACATATGAATTGAAAGATCAAATCAATTAATATGAATAATAAAAAAAAGTTTGATATTTCCCATATAATACTTTATAAAAAAAAATTATTTTATAAAACTGTTAGATATTGTATTTGTTTAAAATATTTGAAATTAAAAAAAAAATAATAATCAAATTTATTGGTTATAAAATGTTTTTTTTTTTAATAAATTTTTGTTGTGTTTGTTAGTAAAATTACAATAAATTATCTATATTTTAATATTGGTTATTATTGCTGATTATGAATATACCTATAATATATATTTGAATAAAATTAATTATTATTATTATAGAATTAAATTTAATAATTGTTATTAAAATATATATATATAAAGTCACTTTCATAACCCCTTTAACTGGTTTTTTATTAATAACTCAAAAACTAATTTAGATATTTAAACCAAAATTTTATGAGAAACATGGATTTCTGGAACGTACAGTTTGATACTATAAATTTTAATAATTAATTGCACAGGTAGGCTAGCTCTGGGAGGTGTGATATCTCAGAAACTATAAAAGATATACAAAAATTAAAAAATGAATAATATACTAGGTCAAAAATAAATTTAGACGTGYTTCAGGATTTTTTGATAAAACTCATGGTTTATTCATAAATTACGTTTAAACATAAAATTGTGCAATATTCAAAATTGAATATTTCAATATTGTATTAATATAATAATATTTAATTAATCACAAAATATTCTATAATTAATTAATTATTTAAAACAAAAATATCAATTTTTTATACTATAAAATTTTTAGTAAAAAATAAAAAACAAATATTAGAAATAAATTTCAATGTAAATAAGATTATATTTAACGAATTTAATGAAATTAATATCTGGTATTAATTCTATGCCAAATGAATGCAACAAATAATTGCTAATACCAGTGGTCATACCAGATATAAATTTCATCAAATTAATTAAATGTTATCTTATTTACATTGAAATTTATTTCTAATATTTGTTTTTTATTTTTTACTAAAAATTTTATARTATAAAAAATTGATATTTTTATTTTAAATAATTAATTAATTATAGAATATTTTGTGATTAATTAAATATTATTATATTAATACAATATTGAAATATTCAATTTTGAATATTGCACAATTTTATGTTTAAACGTAATTTATGAATAAACCATGAGTTTTATCAAAAAATCCTGAAACACGTCTAAATTTATTTTTGACCTAGTATATTATTCATTTTTTAATTTTTGTATATCTTTTATAGTTTYTGAGATATCACACCTCCCAGAGCTAGCCTACCTGTGCAATTAATTATTAAAATTTATAGTATCAAACTGTACGTTCCAGAAATCCATGTTTCTCATAAAATTTTGGTTTAAATATCTAAATTAGTTTTTGAGTTATTAATAAAAAACCAGTTAAAGGGGTTATGAAAGTGACTTTATATATAATAAAAATATAATACATTTTTATAATTAATTTTTGTTTGTTGTTAAAACAATTTGTTGTAATTTATATAAAACAAAATTTGTAAATATTATAATATAAATAAATATATATATATATATATGTTATGGTAAACATATGTTTGTTTGAATTAATTTAATTATTTGATAGTATTGTTTAAAACAGTATTAACAATCCAATCAATAAATTTTGATATACGTATAAATAGCATTTGTGTAGTGGGATCGGGATTAAAACAATAACCGATCGGCGGGTTTACAGCTAAACTGCTACTCGCACCGATAAGTACGGCCCGATTCTGGCCATCAATACTATCGCTACTTAAAACATTTTGAACTAATGGTCCGCCAGAATCGCCCTAATTATTGTTATTATTATTAATTATTAACAAATATATATATCATATATATATATAATAAAATAGGGAAAATGTTTGCTATAATATATATATATATATATATTAAGCAAGGTTAAGCAAGGCTTTTAAATTTTAAGGGGGAGGGGAGGTGGTAGACTGGGGTGAAATTTACAAAAATTTTCGAAAAAATCTTGAGGGTAGATTTTTATTACATTTTTAAACAACAATTTTTTCAAAAATCCATAATCAAGTGAAGGGGGGGGGGGGGGTCAAGAGAAAATGCCCTCAAAATTCTTTAAATTCCCGAATATTCCCATGTAAATTTCATAAAGTTCCCGTATAAATTCCTAGGAAAATGGTGGTAAAATTTCTAAGATTTTAGCGGGGGGGGGGGGGGGGGGCGTTAATTTCTCCTCGTTTTTAAGCGACAATTTTTCCAATTTAGTCAAAAAGTCTGAGGGAGGGGGGGGGTAAAACCCTAAATTCTTGATCTTAGGGGGGGGGGGGGTGTATTTTGGCCTTACCTCCTTACTTAACCCTGATATAATATACAGTATATATATATATATATATATATATACCTTGCAAGTAGCCGTTCCACTATAAATCGGATATCTAAATGCTATGATCCGAGCGCCCCATATATCTGTACTATTGCTAAATGCTTTCATCAACTTTAACCAACCGGTTCTCAATGGTCCCGGATTACTGACTCCCCGATCAATGTAACCAAAACCAGCCACCAGTGCCAACTCGTCATCGATGTTAACAATGTTTTTCTCCGGCAAACAAATACCGTTTACCGTATAATACCCGGCCGTATGTGCGATCAGTATATGTGAATCCAATTTCAGTAATGCGATATCAAAATACTGTTTTATGTGATTAATTAATTTAAATACAGTATATATATATAATTTACTACAATACTAACTAACAAATAATAAATTTAATTATTTGTCTAATGTTTAATATAATATATATATATATATACATTAGGCAAAAATTTTTTTTTATATATATAGGCAATTTTAATTAAATAATTTAATTATATACAATATACATATATATATTATTTTTTTAGGATAGCCTGTATTAGTTTTGATTATTTTAATTTTTTTTTTAGTATTTAACACTATAAATCATTGGCCTTATTAAAGTATAGTAAATATTATAGTTACTGTAATTTATTATTTTTATAACACGCGGTATATAAATAAATATATACATTTTATAAAAATTTTAAATATGAGTATTGATTTTTTAAAAAATAAATAAAATGTAAAATTTTTTTTATTTATTAAGTGTTATAGTTATCTCTATATAATATTATATATACCTGTTTGAGATCATCCTTATAGCGATGATGTATAAACCATTGGTTTACACCATATGTATGACTATTATCATTGCTATCCTGAACTGTACGCACAGTTATTGTGTGATCGGAACTACAGTATATATATATATATATATATTAATTTACAAAAATTAATTTATTAAAATCTAATTCAATTAATAAAATTTATATAATATAAACACACACACACACACTAGTTTTAAAAATTATTTTTATATAATATATATATATATATATATATATAAACTAAACGCGCATAATATTACTAACAACAACAACAACAAAAACTTTAAAAAGATTAATATAATGTAATAAATAAGGCGTGGTTCACATATTACGTTCGCACTTGAGGGGAGGGGGGTTAGCCAAAGCAAACTTATGCGAACGAGGGGGAGGGAGGGGTATAGATTTTAAGAACGTTTGCATTTAGATAATATCTTATTTCTTGTGGTGGGGGGTTAGCGGTTAGGGATAAGCGAACGTAATTTTTTTAAATGACTACATGCGAACAATTGCGAACATAGGGGAGTGAGTGGGTCTAGATTTCGTAAAAAGTGCGAACGTAATATGTGAACGACGCCTTATTTTTTTGATAGCATTATCATACTTAACACAATGTGCAGCTGTTATAATCCAATTGGTGTTTAGTATAACTCCAGTACAATATACCCTATAAAATATTAAAACACAAATATATATATTTTTTAAATTTAAAAATAGTTTAGGCGTGGTTCACATATTACGTTCGCACTTGAGGGGAAGGGGGGTCGGCCAAAGCGAACTTTTGCGAACAATGAGGAGGGGTAGTAATCTTAAGAATGTTTGCATTTAGATTTGCATTTTTGTATTGGGGGTGGGGGTTAGCGGTTATGGAAATGTTAACGTAATTTTTTATAATAACTACATGGGAACAATTGCGTACATAGGGGGGTCTAGATTTGCGAACGTAATATTTGAACAACCCCTTATTTTATTTGATAATTAATTTATTTTAATAAACATAATAAATTAGTATAATATATATATATATATATATATATATGCAAACCATTCTAATGGAATAAATCCTAAAAAATTATATTTAGAATAAATATATACAATCCATGGCCACTCTCCCGGTTGAGCTAACCGTCCGTTTTGTACACTACTTGTAATCACATTTGATGACCACTTGAAACAGTTTTTTGTAGTCAACAGTGACTGCCGTCCGATACCACACGTGTCGAGCGTTACGTTCGGATAGTGTTTGATCTGTGAGTGAATGCAAACACTGAACGCAACCAATACTGATGACAACAATACTATTATTGAAGGAAAAAAAAATTATAATTTAAATAATTAAAAAATATTTCCAAAATAATCATTTTGTTTTAACTTTAAAAAGTTAAGTTTAATAATTAGTACAAACATAATGTTAACATTTCATTGAATTTTGTGTGATTTTTCAGTGATTTGATAAAAAAATACTATTTTATCTAATAATAAAATATTTGTGTGTTTTTTAATGTAATGTTATTAGATATTTATAAATAAATTAATAACTTATTATTATAGTCTGAATTATAATAATTAACTGTATATTAATTTTACTTAAACATTAAATATCAAATTTTAACATATATAGAGAAAAAAAATTTATTATTAAATTTCTATTAAATTTTTTGATTTTTTTAATAGTATATTAATTTACAAAATATAATACAATTTTTAAAAAAATATATCAAATTTTATATAACACTATTAAATGCTAAAATAAAAAATATTATTCCATTTTTTTGTGTGCAAATTATTTGTAAATTATTAATAAATAATATTTTTTAATTAGTTAACTAAGAGTAATGTAACTTAATATTTAACATATTATTTAATATGTTTTTTTATATCAATAGTATATCACTTATTTTTTTATTAAATAATAGTGTTTTGATACAAAATTTTCTACAATTTTATTTTTTTTTATAAAAAACGTATTATTAATGAAAATCTAATTTATTGTTAATTACTGTAATAAAAATTTTAACTGAAAAATCTTTTAAATATTTTATATTATAATTTAATTCAAGTTTTATTAATATGTAAGTTAACATTATATATATATAAATAATAACTATTACTAGAGTATTAAATATTATTGTATTTTATGATCATTAAAAATATATAAATTACAAAATTATTAATTTTTTTTATTAAAATAAAATTCAAAAAATATTGAATTAATTTTTATAAAATGTAGTAAATTTAATAAATTATAATAATTATTATTACTAATTTACTAATTTAATTGTTTAATAAGCTAAATCAATTTAAGTAAGTTTTTTTAATATATTAAAAATATAGTAAAATAACCCATTTTTTCATCAAATAATTACTTTAATTAAATATTTACTTATTAAAAAAATTAAACAAATTTTATGGTTTAAATTAAATTTTTTTATTATTATTAATATATTTAACATAAAAATGATTGTCGATATTTTTTATATAATTATAAGTTATAGTATATATAAAATTTACAATACATAACAATACAGCGATAGGTGTCTAATAATAATGAGTTAATACTAATAATAATAATAAAAATATTAATTATTAAACAAAAACATATAAATTAATTAATGATATTTTTATAAAAAGTTTGACACATAATAATCATATATATATATAACAATTAAAACAACAATAACAACATAAAACAACAACAAATAAATTAAAAAATTATTAATAAAATATAAAACAATGACTGGAATTTGAAATTTATAAAAAAAACAGAGACATAGAGATAGTTTGAATAATTAATTAATTAATTAATTAATAATTATTTTTTTAAACACATTAACAACAGGAACATTACAGTAACAAAAAAAAATTTAATTAATTAATTAAATTAATTAAATTTCAAACAAAAAGAGTGTTTACACTAACAACAACAAAATATGTGATTTGAGACACATTTTTGTCTTATAAATGTAAAAACTTTTTGTTTGTTTGTTTGTTATTATGAGAGAGGATAGTGTTTAGTAGACACTATACATACACACATAGTATATATATATATGATTATGAATTATATATATATATATATATATATATATATATATATATATATTTATAGATAGTTAAAAAGATAGAGAAACTGGTTTTTCTTTAAAAAAATAGTAGTAAAAGTTATTTATATATATTTATATACAGTATATAACAGAAAATATATGTTTTAGTTTTCTCTCCGATGATTATTAGGGAAATAGGAAGAGTAGGATAGATATAGAGAGAGAGGGATAACCATGTAGTTTGAGGAGGGGATAGACCATCCTATATAGCGCACAGGTAGGTCAGTGAGTAATTTCCGGGTGAAAAATAATAATAAAATCCACTTATTATTATAGAGAGAGAGAGAGAGACAGACAGACAGACAGACAGTGAGATAATCCTATAATTATATATAAATTTATATATAAATTGTTTGCCTATCCTTAGAGAGAGAGAGAGAGAGAGAGAGAGAGAAAGAAAGAGAGAAAGTAGCGAAAAGAGATTGAATAACAAAACTTATAGTATTGAAGAAATAATTTTTTAAAAAAAAGTTGTATTACTATTAAAAATAAATATATAAATAAACAGATAATTATAGATTTATATATAAATTTATAAATTAAGATATTTATAATTATTATTAATATTAATAATAAAAACTTTTTTTTTAACTGGTTTTTTAACTTTTAAATACTAATCCAACTATTTTTGTTGGAAATTATGTCATTCAATGAGGTTTCAGTACTTTAACTCTAACTTTATATATATATCTCTATAAAAGATTGGCATTTGAAGTGATAGAGAGAGAAAAAAAACAAAACAAAAAGTTTTATATATATCTAAATATAATATTTTTTAAAAAACTTATTGACATTTCTGTTACATTCATAAAAAAAACAATAACAACAAAAAAAATTCATTAAAAAATAAATAACTCCTAATAATACTAATACTAATAATAATAGTTAGTTAGTTAACCAGTGATTACTATATAAATATATATATATATGATTACCTAATGAATAGTGAAATGATTTGTGTTGGACAGAGACATATAGATAGAGATGGTTGGGTGCGGGAGGGGTAGTGTGTGTGTGTGTGTGTGTTTGGAGGAAAGGGATCAATGGAATAGTTGGTCAAATTAAATATTAGTTAAAAAAATTATTTAGTAGTAGACCTGACTTATTGGGGGGTAAACAATACACCACAAAAAAAACATAACATAACAAACATAAAAACACGGACGTAGAGAGTGAATGAGTGAGAGGGAGGGTAGTGATTGAGAACGGGAGGCTTGAAAATGGCACACATGTTTTACTAAAAAAAAATTGGCACTTCAAAAAAATATAGAGGGGGGGGGTGAAGGGTGTATATATTTTTTCAAAGGCCAATGTATCGCTGCTGCTTAGGTAGCGCACAGTTTTGGTTTAGTATCCGCCACCGTATCCGCCGCCGCCGCCACTACTGTATCCGCCGCCTCCGTACGAGTCGCCGCCGCCGTACGAGTCATAGCTGGCTTCCGGATAGCTTTCCTTGTAGTAGACTTGTTGTTTGGATGTGATAACCCTTTTTAATATTTAAAATAATAAATGATACCATATTTTTTAATCAGTTAATCCACTTATAGATATATGATATGATATGACACCAAAAAAAAATGGTATATATTTTTAAAAACAATAAAATACTTACGGAATGGGAATCGGAAGCGGAAGTGGCAGAGGAATGAGGATCTTCTTCTTGGATTTGGCTAAGAAGGCCAATGCGGCCAACTTTTTCAATTTTTTCAACTTTTTCTTCGAGGCATCGGTAGACTGGGGGGTCAGGGCTACCAGTATCAGGGCTATGGCCGCAACACAGATGAATAATGTGGTCGCACGCATCTAATAATAATAATAACAACAACAATAAGATAATTTATGAGGACATGGATATAGTGGGGGGGGGTATGGATGTGGACAGGTAGGAAACGGTAGGTATATGTATATATCAACAACAAAAATCGTTTAATATATACAGTAATATAACAATTAATTAACAAAACATTTACATTGAATTTGTATTGAGTGGTTGATAGTGATAGTAGTTTCCAACAAATAATTTCACAAAAACTTTTTTAATTTAAAAAAAAACTTTTACTTAAATAAAAACTTAAAAGTTTTTTAAACTTTTATAAAGTGAAAACTGTTTAAATGATTATATTATTTGAAACATTTTCCAATGTTTTTATATGAAACTTGAAGTCAATTTTTTCTTCCCAAATGGGATTAACTTTTCTCAATGGGATTCTGCTCTCTCTCTCTCTCTCTCTCTCTCTCTCTCTCTCTCTTTGCTAAAATATGGGCACTTTTTTCTCTAGAAGGGGGGTGGGTGAGGGGGGAACTAATAAATTTTTTTTGGTTAATGTATATATAAGTTTTTAATTTTAGAAAGTTGATAGTTGTTGGGTATATATAAAAAAAAGTGGAAATCGCCATAAGCTATATGTTTAGTATGTTTAGTATGTGTAGTGTAATAGCTTATGTATGTATGGATGCGGCATATCATACATACAACCAGTACTTCATGTCAGTTAACATATATTATATATATATATAAGTTATAATAATAATAATAATGATAGCGATCCGGAAATTGGGTCAAAC